TGAGAAAATCAGTTGAAAGATCCTTTATCAAGAAATAAGGACCGGTAGAACGTTTTGAAATTACATTATTTGTATGTATTTGAATATTTAAATTGATGATTTTTGTGCAAAAGTCAAAGCCCTAGTTCATACAAGAAAAGATATGGCCCTTGTTTACTTGTTATTGCAAGTAATAGGTAAGTCATTGAAATACCTCTCATATTTCAATGTAAATGTAAAAACCAAGGAAGACTCAATTTAAGTAACATTAACCTTAGTGTGTAACCTGCAGTCATATGCTCGTGAGTTCATAGTTTGCACAGTACTTTTGCCATGTAAATAAATACCAGTTAATTATACTACACAAATAGATCTGCCTAGCGGAGGGTGCAGCGCAGAAAGGCTGCCTGATGTGCCGTTTGAGGCCACCTCTGCCTCGGAGGCTGGCTCGCGCCCCAGCCTAGCTCTTGTTTTGTGTCTGGCCAGCTGCTTTCAAAGTAATGTGCTGAGGTTTGACGTTAAAGAGCCATTTCTTTCCCCATGCTGGTGTAAAACCGCCATCTGTCTGGGTGTCACGTCTAATGCCTGTTCGCCGTGCCAGAGAGCATACGGCAGACACAGACTGCTCCACAAACCGCGTAGCGAGAAGATACCGAGTTGTGAACATAAGCCTGCATCTCTGCTTATCTGACGAGAGCCTCATGTTTGTCTCATCGTTTCCTTTTGAAGGTAGAGGTCTGTGTGTGAGGTGCTTTTGTTGTAACAAACAGTTCAATGTTCTGTTGATCAATTCTTCATTTAGAAGTTGGAATAGCTTGACAAAGGCTATGATGGTTACATTACTCAACAATATGAGTTTGATTCTTGTTTTCAATGAAGTACAAAACAGAAAGTGACCAGAGTTTCTGAAGGGAATTTGCTTGTAGCTTGGTGAGCCCCAAAATATGGAATCTTGTTTTCACACTTTGTACACTACGCCTGAGTGTCAACTTGTCTTTCGAATAGAGGAAGCTTTGTTGCAATCAAGCCGTGTAGATAAGATAAGATATACTTTATTGATCTCACACAGGAGAAATGTACATGTCACATCTGGCATGGATAGAAACACTCAAGATTGTGCAAAAGAAAGAAATGTGCAAACATGTTAAATGCAGGATATACTATGTACAATAAAAAGTGGCAATCAAGAAACAGTGTCAATAGTAGTGCAGGTTTTTCAGTCCTAATGCAAGTGATTTAAAGTGACTTATTGTACAGTGCCTTTATCCTCACTGCTGTCAGACTGTACAACAAGTCACTTTAAGTCACTGTTTTAAGACTGAAAAACCTGCACTACTATTGACACTGTTTCTGATTTCCACTCTTGACACTTTTTATTGTACATAATATATCCTGCATTTAACTTGTTTGCACATGTCTTTCTTTTTGCCCAATCTTGAGTGTTTCTATCCATGCCAGATGTGACATGTAAATTTCTCCTTTGTGAGATCAATAAAGCATATCTTATCTTCTCTTAAAGGCCCTGTGGTAGCACTCCTTCTTGCACTGAAGGTGCCTCAGTCTTCCACTGAAGGAGCTCCTCAGCTCCTCTACAGTCCTGTGCAGTGGGAGGTGTTGTCCATGATGGAGGTGACTTTGACTAGCACCCTCCTGTCCCTCACCTCCTCCAGAGTCCAGGGAGCAGCCCAGAGTGGAGCTCTGTCTACTCCTGTCCCGCTCTGTGCTGCCCGGGGCCCAGCACAGGGCAGCATAGTGTATGGCAGAGGCTACTGGATATAATATAATATTTAATATAGTGTTGATATATTTTATTTTATTCAGAATTGCTCGATATAGTATGCAATTACAAATGTTTGGGTAGTTTTCAAAGCATCTATAATTTATATCCTCTTCATATTTGGCATGTTGTAGTTTCAATAACCCTGATTTGTAGAGAGCTTGGCTTCCTTTGATGGCAATCCTTCATAATATTTCAAGTATATAGTATATTGCATCAGGTGAAATTATTCGTCTAGTTAGATTTGGGTGTTGTTTATTCCAACATCAAACTTGTTTCATTTACACTACAGTATATTCCATCTGCTCTTTTTCATACTCACGACCGCCCCCCACCCCATCCGGCTCTGCCTCTCTCCCAAACGTCCTCTGGGGTGAATTAATGAGGGTTTAGTGCTCGGATGTTTACAAGATTAACAAATGCTTCAACACCTAGTTTGTGAATTCGAGTATCAGCCTGACGCGTGTTACTGTGTGAAGATAACACCGTCGCACTATTGACCCAACACCAGCCATTCAGAACACCCTCATCCCACCACATATTCCCCTTTTTTCCAGACTCAAACCAAATGTGACATCATCAAGTCTGTTTACAGGGAAAACCTTAGACAGCAGATAGATATTTTAGTCGTGTCAATGTCTACTTTCAACTCTACCCCAGCCGTCACCAGATTTGTGCTGATTCCACTGAAGAACAATAAACAAATCTGCTGCCAAAATCTGGGACTTTCTTTGCATTTTAAAATTAGCTGGATTTTTAGCCAGTTCTTCCTCACAAAGAATGAGCGTAGAATTAATTTTAATGAAGAGGCAATCCTTTTCATTGAAGTATGCAACTAGAAAAGCACACAGACCACCTCCATATGTGGAGGTAATAATAAGGTATAAATCAATTAAATACTCCTAAATTGGACATTAAAACCATACGGCAGATCAAGTTCCATGGAGATAGACAAAGGAACAACGAAACAACCCTAGTCCTGTACAAGTCAGGTTGTCCATGTAACATCGCAACCCTCGCTAACACAAGTGTATAAGTAGTCTGGGAACCATCCATTAATTTTCTTGTGTGTTTACGATTGTCCAGACCCATTTATTTGGCTGAATGTGTATCAGAACCATCGGCATGTAGTTCATAGCCAATGGTATCAATTCAACCTAATGACATCCAGTATGTAGAGGGAAAGAAATCCAACGAGGAGGGAAGAAGCAAATAAGTCAAATGATTTTTACTCAATGGTGCCAAAGGATTACTCCATTTTGTGCACGATAAACATGAGGGAAGACAGCTTCTACTGCCATCTGCTGGATCTGGACCACTATCTGTCCAATAGTGCGTCATTTTGTCCTGCGTTCCGTGCTCATGGGCAGTTGGGTTTTCCCAGGCACATTAAAGGGTATTTATCTTTTAACTGCTCTATCTTTAGTTTTAAAAGTAAACTTTGATGATAACGGTGGACCATCGTTAGCCGTGTGTGTGAGTAGTCCTGTATACTTTGGACCTTTCACCTATATACTCCGGGCTGTGTAAAGATACCACTAGAATTTACATTAATTTGAAATTCCCTTAGCCACACAGTGAAATAATTCTGTGTTGGACACGGTTTTAATTCTTGGATTAAGTAATTATAGATCAATAATGTATAGAGCTAATGATTACAATTATGGTTTGTTGTGCCGTAAAACGTGTCTTCTTTAAACAGCTGTATGCACATTAGCATGTGCTGTATTTTATGAAGAACTCATAATGAGTGGACTTTTAGAACCAGACTAATTTAATTAGTCTGGTGCATGGAAATAAATTTCACCTCCTTGCAGAAGCACTTAGGTCTATGTGCAGAGAAATGTTTCAGATTATTTATAAACTCAGTATAACCTCAAGCTAGATAGAGCAGGGGCTAATTACCATTGGCTGAGGATATTGACATCAGAGAAAAATCCAGATGAGAAGAGTTGCCCTGCTGAATTATTCCAACTAATTATATAAATCTACACCTATGGGAACAGCGTGAATCCTGTGATTTTTATATGTGTGTTAAGTGTTCTTTCAGCCAATGGACGAGCTGTTGGATTTGTCTTCTATAAAACGGTCTTCAAAAGCGACTTATTCTCTCCACAGAGAAATAAACAGTTTGTTATGTGCATGCTCAGAGACGTGTGTAATTAGTGAGAGGACAAATCCATAGGGGTCCCATGTTTTTGACACATAGATGAACATTGAATCTCCGTGGGTCGTAAGGATGCAGTTCGGCTTTTAAAAGGCATTTCATTCGTACATTTGTTTCAAAATGCAGATGAGCCCTTCAATATATTTTTTTTGTCTTTAGAAGCCTGAGTACAGAATAATCACTTTTAACATATCAATCCATCATTAGATTCAGTGTAATCAATCTTATACAATTACTGCAAATGAAATTCTTGTTCTTCCCCTTACTGATCCTATTCTTTTTTTCCTTTTATGACAATATGAATTCATCAAAAAATACACTTTAATAAAATATATTCGCTATTTAAATGTGAACCTAAAAGACATATCTTACAGTATATTTACAATTAGTTGATCTATTTACTCATCATAAAATGTTGTGCTTTTTTCAATTAATACATTTAGAAGATAATTTACGGTAATTTACATGACTCTATTGGGTCACTATATGTATTTAGTACATTTGGAATTCCAACATGAATCTTAATCTTGGCTACCTGTTTATACAACGTTAGCGGAAACTAGGTCACATCAAAGGTTTTGGTCATGCCACAGATCAAGTGAGTCAGTGGTGTAACAAACTAAAAAAGCATCTTTAAGTGTGCATATGAAAAACAACTTTAACATGGTCAATCTGTGAATTATATTTTGTATCCTATGGCCTCTTCAATGCCTTGACTAGGGGCAGGTGTATTTAAAGATTATTTTGCTCCTCTTTCACGCTCTTGTCTCTCGCTGAGGACCCGAGGCCACAGTCCTTTCCCAAAGCAGCATGAGCTTTACATCTGACAGAAGGAGAATAAATACCACAGACAGGGACTTCCGGGTGACGTCATGAGAGGAGAAGCAGCTTGAAATCTGGGCTTACGATAGAGTCCCCTTAAACTAGCCAAGAATTTGCAAACGAGGGCGCTTCTGTGCCTAATAGTTGTGCCAGGACATGTTGGGCCCGCGTAAAGAAACAAGGTCAACCAAAAAAGATGATAAACGCGAACAATTCGAGGAAGCAACTGTGGAAGCCAGTGAACCCGAAGGCAGCATGGCATCTCTGCTAGCAGAGCTAAAGAGCTTCAGAAAAGAGCATACGGATGCCTCTAACGATACCAAGGCCACTCTTGTCCGTGTTGAAAACACCCTGAAAGAAGTCGTCGAACGGACGGCCAAACTCGAACAGGAAATGACTGATATTAAGGAGAGGGTGAGTGACAATGAGGACCAGCTTCAGCGCCATGACAGAGCTATACGCTACATGCTACAAAGAGAAGCTAAGCTTTCAGCTAAGTGCGAGGACCTCGAATCCAGATCCAGGCGCAACAACCTGCGCATATTCGGGGTGCGCGAGGGGGAAGAGAAAAACGACATGATTCGCTTTATCACAGGTATGATTCGCAACACACTGAAATTACCACAAGATCTGGATCTTGGCGTAGAGAGGGCGCACCGCTCACTAACTATGAAGCCGAGAGAAGACGCGCCACCACGGTCCATTATAGTCAGATTCTTGGACTACAGAGTGAAAGATCGAGTTCTACAAGAAGCGTGGAAAACCCGCGGGATCACATATCAGGACCAGAAGGTGTTTTTTGACCAGGATTACACCGCTGATATTCAAAAGAAACGCAAACAAGTGAGAGAGGTGATTAAACAACTTAAAGAGAGGAAGATGAGAGCTGTTTCGCCGTTTCCTGCTCAGCTGAAAATCCAAATGGATTCGGGAGTGAAGACGTTCTCTACACTCGCACAGGCAGCACCAACCCTCAAGCAGTTGGGAATAAAGGTGAACATAAGTGAGAGAGAGATTCGTCGGGAAGACCTACTTCACAACAACACATGGACCACGAGATCAAAGGATCCTGGGAACACAACGATGGCCAGTGCGGACCTGGACCTGCTTCTGCGAGAAGACGTGTAGCTGATATTTTCCTGGAATTGACTGGTAACTATCAAAACAAGGGATACTCAAGGCTAGTGACAATAATGATGCTCATAATAATAAGTTCAAGGGACTTTATCCTGCCCAGGGGAAGGTGGGATGACTTTCATGTTGAGTTATGTCTTTTTTAGTTTATTTTTTGCAGAGGCAACTTTACATACGGCCTTGTGCGGTATGACTGTTGCCACTACACCACTGGGTGTACCAGACGGAGGAGTTTCGTCACGCCCCTCCGTCTCCATAGCGACCGAGTTTGAGGAAGCTCGTTTGGACAGTTCAAAGTTTGGAAGTTTGTTTATCTTGTTCATAATGTATGTTCTAATTGGTGTAAAAGGTATGTTTCTGAAATACAAAAAGTGCAATTACAGAGAGATGGGTACATGTTCTATAATAATGTATATAAGTAAATGCAAGAATGCCTCTTAACTCAATGAGGAGTCTAAAAATTGTCTCATATAATGTCCATGGCTTGAATCATCCCATAAAGAGGAAAAAGATATTAAGTCAATTAAAAAAAGATGCAATGTTCTATTGCCCTTTTACAAGAAACCCATTTGAATGATGTGGAACATAAAAAACTAAAAAGAGAATGGGTAAACCAAGCATACAGTTCATCATTTGGGAAAAGAAGAGGTGTGGCTATTCTAATATGCAGATCCCTGGCATTCTCTGTTGACAATGTAATACAAGATAAATTCGGTAGATATGTTATGATAGTAGGACGAGTAGGAGATGAGGAATTATCCATTATGAATCTGTATGCTCCGAATGAATATAATGTATCATTTTTCAAGGACATAGCAAATGTTGTGGCGGAGAAGGCTAAGGGAATTGTGATAATTGGAGGAGATTTCAATGCTGTCCAAGATGGCAAACTTGATAGAACACCAGCAGAAATTGGTCCGGAAACTATAAAAACAAAAATGCTCAATAACATGATCACTGAACTTGGCCTGGGAGACCCATGGAGAAACAAAAATGCATGAAAGATTACACGTTCTTCTCAAATGTTCATAATAGCTATTCAAGAATAGATTTCTTTTGTGTGTCAAAACAACATATGCACAAAATAACGGATTGCAACATTGAAACAATAACACTGAGTGACCATGCCCCAGTAACTATGCATCTGGACTTATGTAAAGATAGTTTTTTCAAATATTGGAGATTAAATGTATCATTACTAACTAACATAGAGGTAATCCAAGAACTAAAAAAAACATTGAAAGATTATTTAGAAACTAATGATACTGGAGAGGTTACTCCCTCAATTTTGTGGAGTGGAGCCAAAGCTGTAATTAGGGGGAAAATGATTCAAATATCATCCCGATTGAAGAGAACCAGAATAAAACAACAGACCATTCTCGAACAAAAAATAAAACTCTTAGAGGCTGAACATAAAAATACAGGTGAAAATAATACATTGATGAGACTAAAAGAAGCCAGGGGACGACTGGATACAATTCTTACTTACAAAGCCGAAGGGGCTCTTAGATTCTCAAGACAACGATACTATGAGATGGGTGGTAGAGCTAGTCGTCTTCTGGCTTTTCAACTTCGTAAAGCACAGACTGACAGGATGATTCCTAAAATAACTAATCCCACAAACAAAGCAATTGTTCATCAACCTAAAGAAATAGCCGATGCATTTGCATCGTTTTATAGGAAACTTTATGAAGAGCCAAACGTGATGAATGATGAGCTCCAGCAGGAAAGTAAATTATTTTTAAATCACCTAAATTTGCCTAAACTATCAGAAGAGGAATCCTCCGATATGGTTTCAAACATAACAGAATCTGAAATTAGGGAGACAATTAAAAAGTTAAAAAATAATAAATCACCCGGTACTGATGGACTCCCTGGAGAGTTTTATAAGTGCTTTGTGGATGAGCTAGCTCCGTTATTGACCAGAGTCTTCAACTATGCTCTTGCAAAGTGTGACGTGTCAGACTCATGGTCTGAAGCCATCATTTCGGTCATTCATAAGGAAGGAAAGGATCCTGTGCTTTGTGAAGGATACAGACCAATAAGTCTATTATGCAATGATCTAAAATTATTAACAAATATATTAGCTAAAAGAATACAAAAAAATATAAAGAAATTAATTAAACCAGATCAGACAGGATTTATACCAAGTCGGCATAGTGCTAATAATATAAGGAGAACATTGAATGTTATAACACAAGCACAAAATAACACTAATAGCTCTATGTTAATCAGTTTTGACGCACAAAAGGCATTCGATACTGTCAGTTGGCACTTTCTGTACAGTACCCTTTCAGCAATGGGCTTTCATTCACAATTTGTGGAGTGGATAAAAGTGATATATATGAATCCTAAATCGTGTGTTCGGGTTAATGGATGCTGCTCGGATTACTTCTATTTGGAGAGAGGAGTCCGTCAGGGTGACTGCCTCAGCCCCCTGCTATTTGCAATTAATATTGAACCCCTCGCTGCATTAATCAGGAATAATAATAATATTAAAGGCATCAAAGACAAAAATCGAAAGGAACACAAAGTCTCACTTTTTGCAGACGATATTTTAACATATATTAGTGATCCAGCGGCGTCCATTCCAGCACTCATGGAGTCTTTACAGGAATATGGCAAGTTTTCTGGCTACCAAATAAATCAATCGAAATCGGAAGCTATGATGTTAAAGGGGCAGTGGCCTGCAAATCTGACGAGTAGGTTTGCATTTCGGATGAGTAATCAAGGATTCAGATATCTGGGAATTATGATCACTCCACAAGTTGCACAACTGTTTAAACCAAACTATGGGAAATTGATGGATGATCTCAAAAGAGATTTTGCTAGATGGGAAATACTGCCTCTCTCTCTTGTAGGAAGAGTGGAAACTATTAGAATGAATGTGTTACCGAGATTGTTATTTTTGTTCCAGTCACTGCCGATAAAGGTGCCAATGGCTACATTCACAATCCTTAATAAGTGGCTCTCGAAATTCATCTGGCAGAATAAACGTCCAAGAATTAAACTTAAAACACTAATGTGCTCTAAAAGGATGGGAGGACTGAATATTCCAAATCTAAGAAATTACTATCTGGCGGCTCAGCTTAAATCAATGACCACATGGATCTCTCGGGAAGAGGAAACCATCTGGTATTCTATGGAACAAGGGGATTGTACGAATGTAGCACTTGATACTTTGCCTTTTGTGGGTCTGGATTTATGGTCCAAGAAAAAAATTACAAATGAAATGGTAAAGAATACGCTGTCAATATGGTCAAGTGTAAGAAAAACGCTGAACCTCCCCAGTCTAATCTGTAGATTGATACAAATACATCATAATCCTGAGTTCCCTCCTGCACCAAATTTTAGTAACTGGGTCGGAAAAGGCCTAATTATGTTGAGTCAAGTGTCTGAAAATGGGAGACTGATGTCTTTTCAGCAGCTCAAACAAATATATAACCTACCAAATGGAGACTTCTATAAATATTTACAACTAAGACATTATATTAGCAAAAATAATATTCTAGACCACCTGCAAAATACACCCTCGGATATGGAATGCTTTTTATTAGCTGTGATAAAAAGGAGAATTACCTCTAAAATTATATCTCATGTTTATAAGTTATTGCAGGAGGGTGTCAGTGAAAATACACTGCACATCAAAGGTAAATGGGAATTAGAAATGAATACAATAATTGCAGATGAGGACTGGGAAGAGTCGCTTCAGGAAGGATATAAAATAACTAATAGTCCAGTATTAAGGGAGTTTGAGTGGAAAACTAAAATCCGATTTTTTAGAACCCCCTTTATCACATCTAAATTTGGTAAAACCTCGGACAAGTGTTGGAGGGACTGCGGTCTTGTTGGAGACCATACGCAAATATTTTGGGATTGCCCAAGGTTATCAAACTTCTGGAAAGCCATACAATGTGAAATTGAAAAATGTCTGCACATAAAAATAATACTGGAACCAACTTCAGCATTATTGGGAATATTTAAAAAGGAAATCAAATCAAAATGTGAATTTTATCTACTGAGGATTCTACTTCTGATAGCAAAGAAAACGATAACGGTCTCCTGGCTCAGACCGCAGCCCCCCACCATCACTGAGTGGAAAAACAGGTTAAGGGACGTATATCAGATGGAACAGATAACGGCCCGACTGCAGATGAAAACTGACATATTTACAGATAAATGGTCTTTAATTCAAACATATTTGTCAAATGGATGATTGTTGTATCAATATTATGTAAGTAGTTTAATATGGACCAGATAACAATATTGTATCGGTAACTGTACCTATATTTCTTGTCTGATTGCTATTTTGTAAATAAGTGTAACTTGCACCATTTATAATAAAAACAAGTTCAAAAAAAAAATAAAATAAAATACCACAGACAGGAACAGAGCCAGTGTCGTGAGACGGCTGTGGTTGTTCGTTGCGGAGGACAGGGGTGTGGCGCAGCTGAGTGCGGACCTTTGAGGGTTGAGAGAGGTGACAAGGCATCATGTGAACTCAAAGGGAACAAGCCAGATTTTCCGCAAACACAGCATTATAAACACTGATACTAGATTATAACACCTTGTTCCATTAGTGTCACAGCCAGCTCCAACTAAAGGATCTGTGACTTAATGAATTGTACTGTTCTTTTTGGCAAAGGCAGTTGTGCAAATAAGGCATTTGCACTCTATGCCTTGCATAGGGGCGCCGAAGTACAGGGGGCCCCAAACTCTATAAGGAAATAACACATAAAGGCTAGTCGGCGTGCAAGGGACACCGCCCCATACCATCCTCTAGGCCAGTTCAGCGGCACCCCATCGAGTCAACAGCGCCCCCTCTGCTTTGACAGGGCACCATAACGTAACAACAGTAAAATCATGCAATCTGTTATTTACCCGTGGTGCTGTAGAGATTGCGCCGGGGGTGCAAAACAGAAAACAAAACAGACAGGGGGGTGAAAACGCAAGCGTTGAGAAACAGTCTCCAGAGTGGAACAAAATGGTTATAC